ATTTCTCTTCTTGAGTGCAATAGCACACAATTGATCTTTCTTCACCATATTTAAACAAACTTTTTGGTCCATATTGAGGGTACCATACCACCTTAACGTTCGCGCTCTCTATCTATTATTTGATATAGGTAACACATGATTTCGACTGCAATTTGGTTTAGACCAACTAAAACGCACGAGCCCGTATACTTGTAGGGCGAGTGCAATTGTAGTCTTAGAAAAATTTCAAGTGCTTAATTATACCAAATTTCACGGGAAATTAAATAAATGACCTGATTACTTATTAGTTTAATAATTTTGTAAACTGATCTGAAGCAGATATTCCCCTTTATGAGTGTATTGTAGCTGGTTTCTTGGCGGGGTAGGGTTCGGGGAAAGTTATCTCATGAGAGCGAGGCTGAAGCAGTGTCCTGCGCAATGCGGTCTAGCAGGATGCACTTGCAATGCGAATACATTGAAATTCATGGCGAACAAGGGGGAGGTTTCTCCTTGATTTGTAACTCGTAAACGAGTTTGTTACATTGAAAGATGCCCCATTTATCAAGGAACTCATTCCTTCTTAGAATACCTTGTACATAGCTTGTTATCAGACGTTAATTGCGGCGGATTCGTGAGCAATTTCCTTGTGGTGTTGATGTTTCTCTGGGCTGTCGTTGTACAACTCCCTACTACGATCCGTGTTTTACAGGAAACTGGCTGAACGAACGACAAACAGGAGCCTTATGAACTTACTTGTGTACTTGGACCCGCAACTACGCCACAGCAACATCTGGATAAAGTGAATTTAGCTATCGATCGTCAAAATGAGTGAGTTATTGCCTGTTAGTTGTTCACTTCTATCGTGGATAAATGCTTTTTGAAAATGTCCGTTCTAAGTCACGTTACTGCGTCAACAGTCTCACAATCTTTAGGCGGAAGAAGTGTCGAGTTCATTTTTGTGTGGTATAACACAGAGCGTCTCAGTAAGACGACGTCATGGCCTTTTCGTGCTAAAGGTCCTTTATCATGCCGAGAGATGTCGATGAGTTGACTAACGAACTGCTCAAATATAAGCCGACGCTTTGTTTTCTTCTGTCGAAAGGCGGCGAGACTGCTCAGACCAAAACAATGCCTGGAATTCTGTTTCAAATATTATCGTCGCTCTCTTGTTAATCCTTTAGTAGTGACAGTATCATCGGCAAATCTGTCTAGGAGAACTCATTTTCGTTTACGTTTCGCATCATTTGCTCGGTGAAATCATCGTAAACAGCCATGTTACTTTTAGTGGTACTTGAAAACTCTTTCAAAAATGTCCACGTGAAGCGAAACGAAACCTCTCAACTAGCCTCTTGTCATTCTTCAATATATCCGAACGATGTTTCTTTCTTTTCCCCGTCTTTTCTTTGTCTCGGGAGGTTAGCAAATAATTCTTGGCGCCATTTTAATTTGTTAAGTATGTTTACTCGACACATTTTCGATGGAATTTCTCGCAGTTGACTTTTTGACACCAACTTCGGCATTTACCTCCACGATTGACAGAAAAGGACTTGTAGCTCGTAAAGTAAAATGAAATTTACTAGGTTTACATGGAGCTTCTTTCAGTCACACGTGCCTACTGTCAAATTCCCTATCAAGAGGATTTTGGCAATGGTGAAGTACAAATCAAACAACCGATCATCTTTTAAATCTAATATTGTTTTAAGGTATAATCCTTACGAGGAGGTTATCAAGCTCAGAGGATATCTTCTTCTTCTTCCTCGTTTAGAGAAATATTTTACATCATAGCTTGATTCAGACATTAGGAATTAGGAATATAAATTATGCTGCTAGTTAATGGAGTGGTTCTGTAGACTTACACAGCAAGTGGTTCATCCACTGTAACTTCAAAGACAAAACCAGTGAATTTTTAGTAATAATTAGTTTTGTTGGCTTTGAACACCAAGCATTACTGTGACTGCAGCCTGATTGAAGGTTCTTGATAATAGACCTGTAGTACATGTATATGGGAATTTGAGGTGTAATTGTGGATTCAATGCAGTTTTACAGTAGATTTTTTCCTGAACAAATTATGGCCTTCATCAAATACTCACTCATAGATACAATGAAAAGTATTAAGCACTTGTGACTGGCCTTATGGGAAACAATGAGTTTTGTTTCCCTGAGATCCTCAATGTTCCCCGAAGTGAACAAATTCAAATAATCATTCCTCTATCTATAACTACTTCCCTTGTGTTTTGATTTTAGAGCAGTTTTTAATTGAGTGTTGTAATACAAACCAAAACCAAACCAATTACTCACCAATTGATAGACTTCTCAGCCAATCTCAAACCGTAGTAAAATCAAAACCAAAGTAATTGCCTGATTACATATACTTTCCACACTGAATTGAAAACCACTCTAAAGCACCTGCAACTGAATCAGTGTATTTCCTTACAATAACAATAGCAATAACATTTATTATTTGTATTGCGCCTTTTCTATAAAATATTCAAAAGCGCATCACAACAATAATTAATAACTAAAATTTGACAAATCTTCCTATCAAAATCATAAAAAATATTTACATTAAATGGGTAAAAGATAATTACAAATAAAGTTATAGATATGCTAAGATAACTGAAATGATTCCTTAAATAAAAATGTCTTAATTAAAGTCTTAAAAGATTCTAAGTTCGTTGCTTTGCACGTGGACCTTGGCAGCTTATTCCATAGGAAAGGAGCAGCTACCTGGAAAGCTCTGTCTCCCAATGTTTTCTTGGCTTTCACACTTGGTCTTTCCAGCAAACGACCACCCTCTTTAAAGTGTCATCTTATAAATGCCATTTAAAAGTTCAGCCCCCATGTTCTTATACCCCTGTCTGTAAAAAGCAATTGGATGAATGTAACTATGTGAACAATCAGCATCAGGCAGAATTGAGCTGTATAGTTTTCCAGGTAAACGGAAATTGTTACAACAAAGCTGGTTCAGTTTTGGAGTAATTTGAGTTGTCATACTATGCCAACTGCATTCTTTTGCACTTTTAAGCCAATGACAGCTTCACTCATACATGTATGTGTTGCTCCAAAGTAAGTCACGCCAAAATGGAGGGTCCTCCAGTGGTTTTGGGCAAGAAGCAAATTTCATCATTTATTTCAGTGGAACGAGAAATATTTGAAACAAATATGCAAGGGATAAATTTGAGGAAACAAGCAATATCTATTATTAAAGGAAACTGTGCCAAAAAATTTTAGGGAACAAATATGCTCCTCCTGGGTGGCTGTCAAAATTTGTTGAGCATACATGTACCAATCAAAAGTCATGTCTTATTGGGACCCTAAGCATCAGCAATACATAATACATTTATGAAACTTTCAATACATGCTCCAGAACCAAATTCAGAAAATACATTTACAGCAGTCAACAGAAGGTGGTTTTAGGAACAGTAAATATTAACATTATGACATTTAGCACATGCTATTCCAATAACATGAAGTCCTGCAAATGCAGTTCTAGTGGTCTTCTTAACACCATGAGGACCACTTGAAGTATCTGCATTAGCACTGAGTGTTGATAAATTAAAGCAGGTTACTGGTAATTAAACAGCATACATGTAAATACAGTGCACATATACATGTACCAGAAGCTTAATTTGTGGTTCTTAGTTAACTTTTTGGAGGTTATGCATATTATTGTCACAAATGTGCCTGTCGGTTTGAATTATGTATAAATTTGCAAAAGTACCCACAGTTGTTATTGTCGATGACTGAGATGAATACAATTGAAATTTAAGAGGATGTCAGTTATTAAATATTAATAATGAAGTGTTTAAAACCACAAGAAATTTTGAGATTTTGATTGTAAAATATCAAATTAGTCCTACAGCTGTAGTTGTAAACATTCTAAGTACTGGTATACACACTGTAGGTTGTAGCAACTATTTTACAGTCAAGCACTTGTTTTGACTGAACTGAGTGAACAACCTTTAAAGTTAAGACAAAAGTCATACAAATTACATGTGTAGACATGTATCTGTACTACTGCTTTTGTACGCTGCAATGAGTGCAACTGAATTTTTGTAGCTTGTTACTTAGTCCATGTTTGTACATTGGCTAATGATGCTTACTTCTTGTAAGTAAATACAAGTTCCTAAACAGTTAATTATTCTCTTATTTATTTTGGATGATTGTGGGTTTAGATACAAACTATTAGATACAAGCTTTGAGGTGAAAATGTGTGTTACTGTAGGTGTACAAAGTTCATGAAAAAATTCAGAAGTTTTGTTGCTGCATGATTGTGTGTTTCATTAAAACTGAGTGAAAATGAAAGATGTACATGTAATGTTTTTAGAAGGGTTCAGCATTCTATGCTTTTCCTGTTGCCCAAGCAGTAGCAATTAACCATATTTGGCTGAAACTATGAATTCATTTTCTGTTATTCTTATTTTGTTCTTCAGGCTTTTCCTCTGAGATAGATGAGGATTACGAGAAGACAAGACGGAATATTGTGGCAAAATATGACAGAGTAAGTTATTCTGAGCAGCAGCTAAAGGTCTGCATCTCTGTGTCCCAAATGTTCTTCTGTTACAGTACGATCTGTGATAGAAATTTCCTTAAAAATTTTCCCAAGACAGACAGACAGACAGAATCTCTAATGACTTTACTGCAAAATCGACTTGCCCCAGTCCATTATTAAACAGGTCTTTCTTTGCGAGCTGGACGTACATATTGATTTTTGTTTGTGTTTAGAGAATGATTGTTAGAGAACACTGTGCACATGTTAACAGTGCAGCTCAGATATACACGAACTATGTGTATTATACGGGCATATTTTGTGTATATGCATACGTGTAAATGCATATTGGGCTGACACAAATTACGTGTATATTTTGGTTTGGATATATCTGAGCTGCACTGTAGTACAAAAGTTAGATAAATGTCCTAATGCACATGTACCATGTGGGAAGCAGTGATTTTCTGACTTTGTTGTTTTGCATGAATATTTTTTAGGGATATGATGAAAATGCTGAGATAGATGACTGGGAGGATGCAAACTTTTTTGTGTACAAAATAACTGACAGATATGGATTTCTCCAGTAAGTATTCTTCTTTTGTGGGAAATTGTCTCATTTTTTACTTAAATTGTACGGCATGAGAAACACAGGATTATGTGTCATTACAATGCCAAGCTACAAACAACCAGTCATACTCTAACAATGTAAAAACACTCTTGAAATTACTAACTTATAGTGACTTTCCTTGACATTTAAAAGTGAATAGAGATACACTTGCATTGATCGATGATTCCCACTTATTTATTCATGAAAATAAATCAACTCCACAATTTGGCCTGCTGTGAGCAGGCCGGATGGGAAAATTTCACCTGCTCCTGTAACCAATCAGATTTCAGGATTTGTTAAATTCCACCTGCTCACAAACTGAGAATTTTGTACATGTATTAATGTATTATATACAAATCAAACATGTGTACAATGTACAGTAAAAGGCATACAAAGGCACAACCAAAAAAGAGGGACGAAATGAGCTCTGTAAGTAAATGGTGCACAAATATTACAGTAAAGATATTCAAACCATAAACACTTCAAATTATGTTGTACATTTTTTGGCATCTTTAGAATGGTGTCTCTTCAAGTAAATATAGAATGTTAGCATTTTAAATATTAAAATTATTCTTTACATTATATGAAGAGTCCTCATTCTGTGGTCAATGAAAAATGTACCAAGAAACGTTGAGTGTTCATGGTTCAAGTGTCCACACTGTAACAGAAAACAACCTTTTGCAAGGTCTATAGTTTTCCACTACATATACATTGTACATTTTGGAATAGTGGTAAATTTTGTGAGAATTGCAAAAGTACATTTTTTGTATCTTTGCTAATCTTTTACCTGAACATCTCTCTTTTTTACAGCAAAAACCAGCTTCCTGAGGGGCGAGATGAAAAGGTACATATATTGACAGCCACAGTCTTACTTCACGTTTTACTCCATATTGTAATGCAGCACATGAGGGTTTTTTTAAGATTTTAATTTGAATAACAATGTCCCCATTACAAAAGCATGCAGGAAGAGACAGAAAGCACATGCATGGAATCGAAAAACATACACTTCTGTAAAATACCGCTGATCATGAAAATTGAGCCTGTAATGACCAGAATGTAATGGTGTTCGCTTCACGATCACATGCTGTTTACTTTGATATGTATTTTGAAATTTTTCATAAATAGAGAAGTAAAGTCATCAAGTCATGATCGTAATAGAGAGAAGGTAATTTTTTTGTATCCAATGGGACGCATCTGGGACTATACCTGTGCGTCTTTTAGGAAAATTATGAGTCTGAGACATGGGACGCACAGGCAGATAGATCACTGGGTGTACTATGACATCTGTTTTGTTTGTGGTGCAGACGATCATTTTCACTGGCCACAGTGCTTACAGAGAACACTGCACTGTATATACATTTACATGTACAGTGTATGTTGTTAAGCCCTGGGCTGTAGATGCATGTAGATATAGAACTGTTATATTTTAGTTGTTTTTTTTTTCTTTAGTGTTGTTCTAGTTATTAATTATTTTCTTCCTTGCACAGTTTCTGACATTAGAGCGCGAGAGAACACAGAAATGGGTAAAGATGGTAAAGAACTGGGATAAGTATATACGTGGAGAAAAGGTGAATATTTAAAACAATTTAAACAAGTTCAACCTTAAAAATGCTCATTCTCTGCATTTAAATGCTTTGCAGTACATGTACAGTACATTGTATGTAGTGTCTCCAATATAAGGGTCAATGCTGCAGGTGTAAGGAAAATTCTTAAACTGACTGCAGCATATGTTAGGGACAGTACATACATGTACAATTTTGTATAGTGTATGTACATGTATTGTGCATGTATGGATGGCTTATTAACATGAACTTGTGTAAATTAAGTAAACGTGTTTATGTAGTACATGTGATTACTAGTAATATGAACTACAGAAAGAGAATCTTCATGTATGTAGGCTATTGCGACCACTTGTACCCAGCCACTTGGAATAGAGCAAGCCAATCAGAACATTACAAAGGGTAGTGATCTTTTTCTGAAATAAGTCATTAACACTGAAAAATACAAACAATAGTTTGTAACAAAATGCAAGGTGTTGTGAGCCCCTCCGGAAACTTTCTCTTTTTGCTGATTTGCTAGTTTCAATTCTAAATTTTGTACCCTTTTCAACAGTTTTGGTTTAGTTGTTGCAAAATGAGTTTTTAAGCTAAACTTTTTGAGCAAGATGTGCATTTATGATAATTCTCCATCAAGGGCTAAATCTCTAAGCATGCATTTTACGCAGCTCTAGGAGTCGATAGTGTTTACATGTATGTTTCCACATCAAACAGACCATTACTTGCCGTCACTAGAAACTACATGTACCAGTCCATTGTTCTCAGTTTATGTTTTGATCGGTTTGTTTTCTTTTAGTTAGCCCGGTTTGAGTAGTTGTAGTGTAGAAATCTTTGCAAGCATCTTAGTGAGCCTCAAAGTTAGCTAGTGTTATTATCTTCCCTTTTGATTACCATAGGCTTCAATGAGTGAGCGTTCTGATAATTTGATGTTTCAAGTACATTATTTAAGGCAGTGGTATTTACAATATGGTACATATAATTCAACAGTATTGGTTGAGTTTTGAGCTGTGAGTGAGTGAGTGAGTTTTTACATGTAGTGGTGATGAAAGTGGCCTGTTTTGTCAAACTACCCACCCTACTTGGAATAATTAGATTTTGTACTCTACATGTACTGAAGTGTGGTTACTTTTTATATTTGTATTTTTCAAGTGAAGTTGTTGTGTGTAATATGTCTTTATTATATGGCTTTGGCTTGTGGCCGATATAACGCGCGCTCTGATTAGCTAAGAGCGAGATCTGAGCAGTCATTATGCAGCCGTAATGCCCACGGGCCGATAACAGATTATGCAAATTAGGAGGAGCCCGGCTCGGAAAATTCAAGCGCATTGAAATGATGAGAGCCAATTAAAAACAGTAAGAGAAGTAAATTTAATTCCGAGTAGCTAAAAGTTTAGGGATTTTTCCTTAATAAAATTTAAATAGAAGTCGTTTTTGACTTACCGGTAACCTTGGCGAGCACTAGTGAAAAACAATCAAAGTTTGCCGAGTGTCGAGTAAAGCTAAAATCACTAAGTGAAAGACACCATCGGCAGATGTGTCACGTATCCTGAGCAGAAAACCACAAAGAAACTTATAAGTTATCATCTTAGTCACAATAATTACCAAAATATTGAACTCCGTTTCAGTTCTCATCAAATAGATTCCCTCGCTTCAACACAAG